ACCTTAGCCAATTGTCGAGCACGGCGCTGACGCTGTCTTTGACGAGCCCTCTTTGTCAGCACCGGTGATCTATTCATCATCGACTCCTTAAGGGGTGTGGAGTCGTTTGAAGCAGGGATGTCGCAGGCGGATTCCTTAGCAGCAATCGGGTGGGAACCTTCACCTGCGGCCTTCATAGGCATTGCAGACTTAAACATTTTCTTGGAGGACGAAATCTTCCTATATTTGCGAGACGAGGAAGATTTCGCGGATGAGGACGACAAGTACTCCTCAAACTTCGCCTGATCGAACTCATATTCGATCTCTTCATTAACGATGATCTTGATCGGTTGCGACACCGCGGCCTCGGCAGCGAGGCCGCTGGCTCCCACTGTGGTCGCCAGTTTGTTTTCAGCAAAAGTTGAATTTGTTGTCGAATTCATTATATCTTCGGTTGATTAAAATAAATTCAAAGAAAACAGCCTTTTTATAAGACTCTTTTACACAACAAAAAGAAAACTACAACTCTTGAGAAAATAAACACAGGATCGTTGTTTGGATCACTGCTTTCGTGGGTTCTTTGCCTGTGCCAGGAGCGCGTTAGCTCGTGGACCACCGAATCACAAATCGTGAAGAGGGGTTTACTGATTCTTCCTTCGTTATCGAAGTTAGAAATTGAAACGATATCTTATCGAAGTAAAATAGTCGTTCTTCTTGAAATCAAGTCAAAGCCTGAATGTCAAGGGATTGCTCCAAGAACTTAGATCTCTGCTCTCTCTGCTCTGGAATGCTCTAACAAATGCTCGATCCTCGTCAGAAACGACCCTAGGGGGTATTTATAGCCTCAGGGATATGTAACTGCAAAAACTCAACAACTGCAGAAATTAGTACGGCGAGACAGTGTTTACTGTCTCGAGACAGCGTTTGCTGTCTCGACCCGCGAGACAGTAAATTTGCTGTCTCGCCCAGCGAGACAGTAAATACTGTCTCGGAAAACGACAGTTTCTCGCTGTAACTGTTCTCCCACGTTTCAAACTCCGTTATTTTGGCAGTTATCTACGTGATTTTCGCCCACGATGTTTCCCACGTCCTTTGGCAGTTAATGGACACGTGTAGGGCAGTTAAAAAGTTGGTTTTGACCATTTCAACACTGTCTTGCTGGCGAGACAGCAAACACTGTCTCGCTGGCGAGACAGCAAAGCCTGTCTCGCTGGCGAGACAGTTCATACCTGCTTTGATTTTCTTAAAGCAGTATGAGGTCCCTTTGAGTGATTTTCTCTATGTCTGGGATATCTATTAGCATTTTTTGATGCCTACACTAACCTCCATCTTATTAATGAAAATAGAGGCAATCAAGTTGTTTCTTTTTCTACCATTAGCAATCTTATGGAAATATGCAGTGTTGTTATCACCTTCTTTTAGCCAATGTGCTTTAGATCTTTGTTTCCACATTTGTTCTTCCTGAAATAAAATTTCATTCAGCTGAGAAGAAACATCATTTTTCTTGATCAACTCATCATCTTCTAAATCTCTATTTTCCTCAATGACTTCTCATTCCAGCAAATTATCCAATAATTCTTTTTTCTTCTGTCTGATACTATAAAAATTAGAATGTGTCAATTGATTAATGCACTTTTTCATGAATCTCAATTTCCCAACAATATTCTGAGGAGCACAATTCCACCACAGAGGTATTCCTCTTTTAAAATCTTCAGATTGAAGCCAGATTTTCTCAAATCTGAACTTTTTGACAAACTGTTGATTATCACCACAATCAAAGCTAATGGGAGCACGATCTAATAATTGACTACTAAGCCCTTGTTGCTTTGAAAAATAAAACAAGTCTTCCCACTCAGAGTTAAAAAAAAACTCTATCCGGCCTAGCTAAAGTAGGTGAACTTCTTTTATTTGACCAAGTAAATTTTCTCCCATGTAAAGGACTGTCAATTATTTGACCAAGTAAATTTTCTCCCATGTAAAGGACTGTCAATTAACTCAAGATCATTAATCACTTCACGGAATTCTTCCATCTCCTTTCTATGATTATGTCAATTAACTCAAGATCATTAATCACTTCACGGAATTCTTCCATCTCCTTTCTATGATTATGTTTACTTCTTCTTTCATCAGCATTAAAAGTCACATTAAAATCACCCACAACAACCCAAGGACCTGGAAATCTGTTTTTAACATCTTTAAGTTCCAGCCAAAACAACCTTCTCTCACCATTGCAATGGGGATAAGGGGATACATATTGAAATTTGTTTTCCGGTTCCAAATCTCAAAGATAAAGAAAAATAAATTGCTGTGATTAACTCTTAATCCATTGCCAATTGCAACTATATCTTTTTGTGGATACTCATGATAAAGAGAAACATTAGCAAGATCTGATGTGCGATGATGTGTTGCTCCTGAATCTGGATATCAATTTGGATCGATAGACGGAGTTGTGGCTTATAAAGGCTCCCCCTTTTTGTTGATTGAAAGCATTGTTGCCTAATTTTTGGTCAAAACGACGATGACAAATCAATGCTGCATGACTAAAGAAACCACATATCTGACATTGGTTTGTACGTCGATTGTAAGGGGCTGAGCTTGACAATGAGGTGACGACGGATCGTTGCGATTGGTGAGACCCTTGAGAACAATCATAGCCCCTGCCATCACTTCGACCTGCGTAAGATCCACCACGTCGGCTACTAGAATTTTGGCGAGGTTGTTGTTGATTGGGGACGAGATTTGCTATGTTGGGGGTACTCCATAGATGGACGATTTTTACATTCAAGTCAACGTTCAAAATTAGGAAGCATGATATGAAGATGAGCAAGGATAAGATCATCAAGTTTTGTATGGATCGAAACAACAAATGGGTCATATGTCGATCCAAATCCACTAAGTATGTAATCAATAAGATCAGAATCTGAGATCACATGCCCAACTATTGGGAGAGCATCACCAAGACTGCACACTCACTCCTCGAAAGTGCACCCCCCTGAATGTTGGATAATTCAAATTTGATGTCATGTATACGAGATCGAGATCGAGGCAAGGAAGCAAACAAAGTCTGCAACGTTGACCAAACCTAGTGGGAAGATGTGCAAGAAATCACTTGAGTAAGCATGGATTCATTTAGGGACGAAAAACAATCCATCCCAAAACTTGTTGATCTTGTTCATGCCATGCTAAAAATTCTGGATTAGAGTCGGAGTCGATTAGAAAGAGGTCACAGTGGATGCGGTTATCGGTGGAAAGAAACCCTGGAGGGCAAACCGATGAACTGTCGACGTAGCCAACAGTCTAAGGCCATGAAGAACTGGGATGAATTGAGCACACCATATTAAGTAATTTGATCCGTCGAGCTTGATGGAAATCATGCCAAACAAGTGTTTGGGCTGAAAAGTGCAAGAAGGGGAAACAAGCGATGGAGCCATGAAGGTCGAAGAAGAGGCAGAAGATGAAGCCATTAGAGAAGACGTAAGTCAAAAAAAAAAAAGCTCTGATACCAACTGCAACATTTGATAAGTCGGTATGCAATATCAGAATATGTCGGCTGAGAGATCTTGAAATGATATTTCTATCGTGGGAGTTGTTACAAGGAATGATGTACAAGTTTTCTTTACTAGATTTTTTTCCCAGTGAATTGTTTTCCTGGTAAGGTTTTAACGATGCATATTTTTTGTTGAATGGACATTCAACAGGAACTGTTATGAAATGAATGTCCAGAAACTCATATTGCAACATAGCAATTCGATAGTTGTCACAATATATTGATTGACCCCTTAAATTATTCATGGCATTTTGCACATGCTTTTATCATGAATTGATTCTCTAATTAATGCCTTGATTATTGTCATGTATGGATACTTTATTTAGAGGTTAAAGTTGTGTATAAACAGAGATGCAATTGTACAACAACTTACACACACACACAAAAAGTTCTCTCTCTAATTTTGTCCCTCAATTTTCTTTTCTCTCTTTTATAATTTTATTCTCTTCTTTAGTTACTTTACAAAGTATTCCATTATTTAATTATTCTCCCAAACATGTAACTTATTTAACGAAACCCGTTAAGAAGTAGGACCCAAACCCATTTAAAGAAAGGGTATCCAGGCGCATCTAACTGGAGCATCTTCCCTGATAATGGCTTCTTTTCTCACCCATAGTTCTTATTCAACGGCTCTTTTGTTGGAGTCTAGAAAATATCATTGAAGCACCATTATTCCCCATTTCTCCAACCTAACACCAACTCTATATTTTCCTGAGATCTACACGATGAGAGGGGGGAAACACTTTCTCTCATCTTATTAAGCGGGAAATGATGGAGATAGAGAGAGACGAAGGATTTTAGTGAGAATTAACTTCCATGGGCAAAAAAGTAAATGCACAATCCAAATTCCCCATCACCCAACCCAGTTAAAGCATCTGGACGCTTATGCTACCAAAAAGACTTATTTTACTCGCTATTGCAGGACCTAGTAGCTATTATTGTGATTTGAGGGGGCCTATATCAAAATAGTGAGGAATTGGAAGAATAATATCGAACCCTCATTTGTTCTTCATACTAAAATTCATGTCAACATCGATTCTGTCGAGTTATAGTTTCTATCACGTTTGGCCATCGACTTTAAAACCTTACTCACATGTCATGGATCCTATAAATTAGGATTATCATTGAATAGAATAGTTTCTTCGGTTTACATAATTAATAACAACAAGCCGGGTTCAAGCGGCAACAAACGTAAGAAAAAAGAAAAATGATTTAGTTAGACGCGGGTTTGAGTACTCACATACCCCCAATTATTAGCACCCAATTATAAGCACCTTAAACTAAAATATTTCAGAAAACATGAACAAAATATTTCTGAAGAACATGAACAAAAATCTAAATACACGAACAAAAATATTTCTACGAGACAGCGCTATGAAGCACATGAACACAATATTTCTAAAACTCCCGTGTTTTATGTTTTAAAACTGTAGGTAGCCTACACGAACAAAAATATTTCTACGAGACAGCGCTATGAAGCACATGAACACAATATTTCTAAACTCCCGAATTTTATGTTTTAAAACTGTAGGTAGCCAAGGATGAATAAAAGTCTGATACACGTCATAAAAGTTGCATATGCATTGAAACAAGGAAAAGGAAACAGAGAAAGCTTAACATCATCACTCAAAATGTTAACATCTGCGAAAGAAGGTAGAAGCAATCAGCATCCTATCTTTCATCTTCAATCATCAACCTTCGATTCCTACAAGGAAAATAGAAAAATGAGGATGCAACTTTACCATAGAATCAGGTATAATATGGTTCTGGTTTACAAGAAAATGCAATCCAAACAGGGAGAATGAAGTCCAATTAACCTACAGTGTACTAGAGAATCTAACTTTTATATAGTTTGATCTGGATTTCTGGATTCAGCTTGAGGTATTCAAACCCAAGGAATCCTGTTTAGACTTCGGATAATAAGATACAGACTTTTATCCTGTTTACAACTGAGAGAGGTTATTGTCTATCACATAATTTTCATTTCACTCTGTACACGAGGTGAATGAACTAAAGACATATCACAACAAGTTATTGCATGATGAAATAACAGGCTCATGCTTTTACTTATACTATAAATTAGAAATATGGTAAGGTAGAGAAGCATGTGAATGTTTTCCGTATGTAAGCTTTTAGGATGAAATTTTTAAGTACCAAAGTTTATGTATTTTTCTGAACTCTTTAACTCAGAGAAGCAGTAGCACAAATTTTTTTGAATGATACAAAATGACACACAACATAGTTATAAATACAATGTGAGATCTTCATAGTACCTTACTTTCATTCTCCCTTTTGAAGACTTGCCTTCTCATACCGGCATTTGAACGATACTCTGATGTGATAGCAACTGTTCTTCAGTATTCAGCAGCTGTAAAAGGTCACTAAAGTATTAGAAAAATCTTACAATTACCAAAATTTTGGGTCTCCAGAAAATGCAGAGAAAGACGGAGCACATTTTGCAGAAGCTCAAGTTGCTTTCCTCAGTCTCAAAGGACAAATTGAAATAGTTTTTTGGAGGAAGGTCCTCTGCCTGCTGGACAATGAAATACAATTTTCAGCCACAAATTTGGAAGGGGTTAAGACATAGAGTTCCAATTAATAGAAAGAAAAATTAAAATAATTACAGAATAGACATCAAAGTAATCTATTTACAAATAGGCTAGACAAGTTTCACCTCAAACGCATAGCCTTGGTGCACATAAAATTCCTTCAACTTGTCAAACCAATCGATTTCCTGTGTCCAAAAACAATTGACAATGAGGACTAACTACTAAAAAATGACAATTAAAATAAAGTATGCAGTGAATGCTAGATAATAACAGAAACCTGTTTAACATCATCAGACACTAAAAAATAGAAATATAATGGATTCAACCCTCCATCTCCAGACGTGGCCTGAAAACAAACAGAAAAAATGGTTAGACATCATAACTTTGGATTTTAATAGCTTATATGCTTTGCTTTTCTATGACTGACTGTGTATACCTCTATGATAGGGGGAAAAATTACACCAGTGCATACCTTTCCCCCGAGAAGGAGACCCAGCGGTTGAGCATTAACAGCTATCAGCTCCTCATAACAAAGCTGTATTACCACATCAGCTTCTACATCCGCATTGAAATAATCAATCTGTCAAAAAATAAAAGAATTACAAGTTAATTTATAACTTCTGTATGAGAATGATTAAATAAGTATATGGTTAGAAGATGAACCGCATACCTCAGAGACAAAAATTGTATCTACTTTCTCACCATGTCTGAACTATATGGTTAGAAGATGAACCGCATACCTCAGAGACAAAAATTGTATCTACTTTCTCACCATGTCTGAACTCTCTAAGAATATAAGTCCTCTCCCACCTCAGAGACAAAAATTGTATCTACTTTCTCACCATGTCTGAACTCTCTAAGAATATAAGTCCTCTCCCATTTGCTGGATTACATTTGTTAAAGAAAATATCATGAAACAAAAACTTTTTTTAAAAAAGTTTTTAGTTCTTGATAGTACCTTGTATCCACTATTATCGATGGTTTCTTTAATTTCTTTGAGTATAATGCAAGGACATAAAGTTGATCCGAGCATACCACTATCTTTCTACCTTGTTTCTCGTTATGGTCAACCAAGTACTCACATGCCCTAAGTTTGTTCGGGTTTATTCCAAGCAAAGCCTGATGGCAGAAATTATAACAGGAGTCGGTATAATAACCAAGAGAGCTAGCTTCTACTTACTGAAGAATATGTTTGAAGTTAAATAGAAAACTACAAATTCTTCCAATGATTTTTCTTTAAGTCGGCGAAGCACACTGTAAAACTGAACAAGAAGTGAACATCGGACTTTCTTAAATCTGGCTTCATCAAAAGTCCTCTTTTTCTTAGATTTGAGGCATTTGCCTCATATACATTTGGTCCTATCGATAGGAGATATCTCATTTGTCCGTTTTCACGTGTGTCTCTACCACCAACTGTTCAAATGATTGTCATAAGAAACACGAAAAATGTAAAACAGAAAACATTAGCATATTTTATTTGCAAACGCACCCGCAAGCCCAAGTTTAGAGTAGTGGTTTATATTAGTAATAGCCCGATTGAGCAGGACATCAGAGGTTGCCTCAACCTGCATAGCCAAACACAAAAAACTAATTCTCTATCACTAGCATTGTTACATATGAAAAACATGCCTCAACCTGCATAGCCAAACACAAAAAACTAATTCTCTATCACTAGCATTGTTACATATGAAAAACAATAAGGAAAAAAGATTGTTCTACACAAAAAACTAATTCTCTATCACTAGCATTGTTACATATGAAAAACAATAAGGAAAAAAGATTGTTCTAAGTATAGAAGTTCACCTCATCTAAGATAAGCAGACCTTATTTTCTCTTCAGAATCTCTGCAATAATTTTCTGTGATATCTCTGATCTTGACCCAGATCCTAAAAGCATATTATATGTGGTAATAATCACGCATGCTTTCCCACATGGACTTTCCTTTTTATCCGATGTAAATTGACAAAGGAGTGCCTCATTTATGTTTTATATTTGAGAATCAACATTTTGCTATACATACTTCTTAAGGAAATAATTAGTTACTCATACTATGGAAAAAGAAAAAAGAAGTTAGTTACTCGTACTATATATTATTCACGCATGTTTGCTCTTTGCCAAGTAAGGCATGTCTTTAACGATATATGTAAACCGTATATTTCTTTTGTTTTTGCAGAATATGACAATGTTGAACATTGAAATGAAAAAATACATGGACATCAAAGCATTCGAACGAAAAGCTCTTCGGAAAATCATTACAAATGGTATTTATTAACAACCTACCAGTTCATCAAAGCATTTCTTATTTATTTATTAATCCTCTTTGCAGGAAAAATAATATCTAACATTGCATTCTTACCATTTGGTATCAGAAGGTATTCCTTGGGGATATCTGTTGTTTGTGAGTTGAAAAAAAGTTGCATTATCTTGGCTTTGAATGCTAATGCAACAGAGAAGTGGTCCTCCTACTTCAAGGAGTGCACTCACATAAATGAGGCACTCCTTTGTCAATTTACATCGGATAAAAAAGAAAGTCCACGTGGGAAAGCATGCGTGATTATTACCACATATAATATGCTTTTGGGATCTGGGTCAAGATCAGAGATATCACAGAAAATTATTGCAGGGATTCTGAAGAGAAAATGAGGTCTGCTTATCTTAGATGAGGTGAACTTCTATACTTTGAACAATCTTTTTTCCTTATTGTTTTTCATATGTAACAATGCTAGTGATAGAGAATTAGTTTTTTGTGTTGAACAATCTTTTTTCCTTATTGTTTTTCATATGTAACAATGCTAGTGATAGAGAATTAGTTTTTTGTGTTTGGCTATGCAGGTTGAGGCAGGTTTTTCATATGTAACAATGCTAGTGATAGAGAATTAGTTTTTTGTGTTTGGCTATGCAGGTTGAGGCAGCCCCTGATGTCCTGCTCAATCGGGCTATTACCAATATAAACCAGTAAACCACTACTCTAAACTTGGGCTTGCGGGTGCGTTTGCAAATGAAATATGCTAATGTTTTCTGTTTTACATTTTTTGTGTTTCTTATGACAATCATTTGAACAGTTGGTGGTAGAGACACACGTGAAAACGGACAAATGAAATATCTCCTATTGATAGGACCAAATGTATATGAGGCAAATGCCTCAAATCTAAGAAAAGGAGGACTTTTTGATGAAACCAGATTTAAGAAGTCCGGTGTTCACTTCCTGTTCAGTTTTACAGTGTGCTTCGTCGACTTAAAGAAAAATCGTTGGAAGAATTTGTAGTTTTCTACTTAACTTCAAACATATTCTTCAGTAAGTAGAAGCTAGCTCTCTTGGTTATTATACTGACTCCTGTTATAATTTCTGCCATCAGGCTTTGCTTGGAATAAACCCGAACAAACTTAGGGCATGTGAGTACTTGGTTGACCATCACGAGAAACAAGGTAGAAAGATAGTGGTATTCTCGGATCAACTTTATGTCCTTGCATTATACTCAAAGAAATTAAAGAAACCAGCGATAACAGTGGATACAAGGTACTATCAAGAACTAAAAACTTTTTTTAAAAAAGTTTTTGTTTCATGTTTCATGTGTTGTTCATTTTCGGGTTCGCTGATATTTTCTTTAACAAATATAATCCAGTAAAGGGGAGAGGACTTATATTCTTAGAGAGTTCAGACATGGTGAGAAAGTAGATACAATTTTTGTCTCTGAGGTATGCGGTTCATCTTCTAACCATATATTTATTTAATCATTCTCATACAGAAGTTATAAATTAACTTGCAATTCTTTTATCTTTTGACAGATTGATTATTCCAATGTGGATGTAGAAGCTGATGTGGTAATACAGCTTTGTTATGAGGAGCTGATAGCTGTTAATGCTCAACCGCTGGGTCTCCTTCTCGGGGGAAAGATATGCACTGGTGTAATTTTTTCCCCTATCATAGAGGTATACACAGTCAGTCATAGAGAAGCAAAGCATATAAGCTATTAAAATCCAAAGTTATGATGTCTAACCATTTTTTGTTTGTTTTCAGGCCACGTCTGGAGATGGAGGGTTGAATCCATTATATTTCTATTTTTTAGTGTCTGATGATGTTAAGCATGTTTCTGTTATTATCTAGCATTCATTGCATACTTTATTTTAATTGTCATTTTTTAGTAGTTAGTCCTCATTGTCAATTGTTTTTGGACACAGGAAATCGATTGGTTTGACAAGTGGAAGGAATTTTATGTGCACCAAGGCTATGCGTTAGAGGTGAAACTTGTCTAGCCTATTTGTAAATAGATTACTCTGATGTCTATTCTGTAATTATTTTAATTTTTCTTTCTATTAATTGGAACTCTATGTCTTAACCCCTTCCAAATAGTGAGTAAAATATGTCAGGCCCCTTGTCTTTACAATAATAATAATAATAATTAAGAGAAGCGCAATCAGTTATGCACGCATGCTTCTCCTAAGAGAGGGACTAGAAGCTATTTGTTCCATAGAATATTAAAATAAAATAGAGTATTTCTTTGATGATTTTAGGTCAGCTGCTACATTGATCAGCTATGTCAAGGTCTAGCAGTAGCCCAAGCCCTAACTAAACAGAATCGAACTTAAACAAGCATAATTTCTAACGTTAGCACAAATTTTAACCCAGGAGAAGGATCTGAGGAATTATTAGCAGAGTTTTGCCGTTTTTATACAAATCGTTTTAAATAAAACCCTAGAGAGCAAAGAAGTACCACTAAAACCCTAGGGGCTGGAACCAACGGCAAGGGATTGGGATGATCATCTGTTGAACCGGCGGCTGTGGATGAGAGAACCCCGCCCCCAGAGATCGCCGGATCTCAGTTGGCCGCCATCAGAGGCTGGCGATGTGTAGATCCAGAGGACAGTGGATAGGCCTCGCCATCGGACATCGTCGGATCTCCGTTGCGCCCCCCGTCAGATACGGAGCCCGCTGGCCGACCTTCAGATCGCGAGAACCAGTGGATCTTACGGCGCATGAGAGTGAATGTCGCCACCGGAGATCGACGCGATCATCGTTTGGCCGCCATCCAGAGCGCTGGCGATGCTTACAGCAGTCCAGAAGAGCAGCCGAATTGCGGCGGTGGAACGAGCGGTACCAAAGAATATCGCCAGCGGAGAATATCAGGATTTCGGCCCCCTCCCCGCGGCTACCCGATCCGGATGGGAGGTGGTTCGGCGATGAAGAAGGCTGAGCATTGAATGCGAGAAGACGCCGGATCTAGGCCGCCGTTGACTAGATCCAGCAGCCTCTCGGCAGATAAAAGGCGGAGGAGACTTGGCGGCGAGATGGGGGCGGGCTTGATGGCTTTTATAAGAGTGTGCTCAAGCGTCAACCGGATGAGTATCCCTACCAAGAGTCCAAGAGTGAGTATCCCTATCAAGAGTCCAAGAGTGAATCGAACTTTTTGACAGATTTGCGAGTAGAAAGAGGAGGAAAAAGCAGAAAGAGGAGGAAGAAGAAGAGCAGGAAGAAAGCATGTTTTGGGGATTTATTTAGGGGGTGTTTGTTTTGCTTTTTTTTTGGGATATGATAGTTTTGGGATGTAAAAAGTGTTTTTTTGTGGTTTTAAAAATCCATAACTTTGTTTGTTTCACTTTTTTTTTTGGATATTGAATCCCTAAATTATAAAACAATAATATTTTATTAGGATTTGTGAAATCCTCTCTCTTGTTTCCATCTTTTTTTTGGGATATAAGGTTTTAGAAATCGATAACTTTGTTTGTTTCAAAACCAATTTTGGGATATCAAATCCCAAAATATTAAAAACTATTATATTTAGGCATTTGTGAAATTCTACACTTGAGAGAGGATGTGGGTTGGATATTGATGTATTAATGCTTATAATATAAGATTAATATAAGATTAATATATTATATATAATATTATAATAATATAATATTTAATATAATACATCTATATATATATATAATTTAATATATATATATATAATATAATATATATATATATATATATATATTGTATTATATATATATATATATATAATATAATATATACTGTGTGCAAGAAGAAGACAGGTTGAAGCAAGATAAGACAGAAAGTGCTCATTTGGCCTATGCCTCTAAGGATAAGGGCAAGAAAAGGAAGAATGATAAGGAAGCTGCTAAGGGTCCAGTTGAGAAGAAACAACATAAGGATAATCAGGGTTGTTTCTTCTGTAAGAAGCCTGGACATGTAAAGAAGGACTGTACAAAATATCACGCCTGGCGTGATAATAAGGGTACGTTCCTTGCTTTGGTCTGTTCTGAGGTTAATTTAGCTTCAGTACCTAGAAACACTTGGTGGTTAGACTCTGGTGCTACTACTCACATAAGTGTTTCTATGCAGGGTTGCCTGAGCTACCGAAAGCCAAGTGATGTTGAAAGACACATCTTTGTGGGCGACGGACAATCGGTAGATGTGGAAGCAATTGGGCACTTTAGGTTGTTGTTAGGAACTGGTTATTATTTGGATTTAAAAGATACTTTTGTAGTACCGTCTTTTAGACGGAATTTGGTTTCTGTTTCTGTATTGGACAAATCAGGTTATTCTTGTTCATTTGGAAACAGTCAATTCAGTTTATCTTTTAATTCAAATGTTGTGGGAACCGGTTACTTGAGTATTTATGACAACCTATATTTGCTTGATACAATTGCTTCTTACAATGAATCCTTGCATGTGGAATCACGTGGTACTAAGCGTAAATTAAATAAGGAAAATTCGGCGACATTATGGCATAAGCGCTTAGGTCATATCTCAAAAGGTAGAGTTGAGCGTCTTGTGTCTGATGGCATTTTGGATTCCCTTGATTTTTCGGACTTCGACGTATGTGTTGAATGTATCAAGGGAAAACAGACCAAAGTGAAGAGATTAGGTGCCAACAGATCTTCGGATGTCTTAGAATTGATACATACGGATATTTGTGGGCCATTCCCTACGGAATCCTGGAATGGTCAACAATATTTTATATCATTCATAGACGATTACTCACGTTATGGGCACCTATATCTTATTCATGAAAAATCTGAGTCTCTGGACATGTTCAAAGCCTATAAAGCTGAAGTTGAGAATCAACTCAACAGAAGAATTAAAACCGTCAGATCTGATCGTGGTGGTGAGTACTACGGTAGATATGATGGTTCAGGTGAACAACGTCCAGGACCATTTGCTAGATACCTAGAGGAATGCGGTATCGTCCCACAGTACACTATGCCGGGTTCACCTAGCATGAATGGTGTAGCTGAAAGACGAAACAGGACTCTTAAGGATATGGTAAGAAGTATGATTGCTCATTCTTCTTTACCAGAGTCACTCTGGGGAGAAGCACTTAAGACAGCAGCTTACATTCTGAATAGAGTACCAAGTAAAGCAGTTGCTAAAACACCTTATGAGCTTTGGACTGGTCGAAAGCCCAGTTTAAAGCATTTACATATTTGGGGATGTCCAGCTGAGGCAAGGCCTTATAGGCCAAATGAAAAGAAATTGGACTCCAAAACAGTTAGCAGCTACTTTATTGGGTACCCTGATCGCTCTAGGGGCTATAAGTTTTATGATCCCACTATAAGGAATATTTTTGAGACGGGAACAGCAACATTCTTTGAGGATGTTGAGTTTGGGGGGAGAAATAAGGTTAGAGACATTAGTTTTGAGGAGGAATTGGCTTCAGATCCAATCCATACAGTTACTTTTGACAATATTCAGGTTCCTATACCTGTTGTTGCTCAAGAAGTAAATCCGGAACCTCAAG